ATGCAGCATAGCTGTTTATTACATTGTAATAACACTATGCAGCATAGCTGTTTATTACATTGTAATAACAGGATGCAGCATAGCTGTTTATTACATTGTAATAACACGATGCAGAATGATTCCTTCTCCATCACTGCTGTTGTTATTAAAGCTGAGTATTACTCACCTGAAGCTCTTTGTTTGTACCAGCATTTGGGGGGGGCTATGCTGAGCCTGACGTCACCCAGTGCACCCCCCACCAGTGCTTCAACAACAACGCGCCGCACTACGCCGAGACGGACATAGTGCGGCTGCAGGGCGTCACCGGCAGCAACATGTACGCTGTCCCCGCCCTCACCGTGGACTCCCTGACCAGGAAGGACATCTCTGCCGCCGAGTTCCCGCGGCAACAGCTGATCTTCAGGGAGAAGCTGGGGGAGGGGCAGTTTGGAGAGGTGGGTGGAGTCAGTGAGGGCGGGGAAAATAGAGAATGAAAAGTCTCGGCAGGCACCTCGACTCATCTCCGTCTTCTGCTGCAGGTCCATCTGTGCGAGGCCGAGGGACTGCCCGAGTTCCTCGGGGAGGGGTCGCCCCTCCCTGACAGAGACGGCCGCTCGGTGCTGGTGGCGGTTAAACAGCTGAGGGCCGACGCCACGAGTCAGGCCAGGTACCGAAAACAGAGACGTGTGTGTCAGTAATCGTTTGAAGAGCTTGATGGTGGTAAACGTCTAAAACGTGATTTTTACAGTTGAATGGTTTTATTTTGTAGGAGTGGCAGATTAGGATTTAAAACAACTTGTTTCATCATGACTCAGATTATTGTCAGTTTGATGAAGCGAGCCGGGGCCGTGTGGGTCGGGAGGTTCTGAGCGACCCAGTAGGAGTTTCACGAAGCACCGCTCCGCTCTCTGTTTGTGTTTGCTCCAATCAGGAACGACTTCCTGAAGGAGATCAAGATCATGTCGCGGCTGGACAACGCCAACATCATCCGGCTGCTGTGCGTGTGCGTGTCGTCCGACCCGCTCTGCATGGTCACCGAGTACATGGAGAACGGAGACCTGAACATGTTCCTGTCGCAGCGCGAGATCGAGAGCACGCTCACGCACGCCAACAACATCCCTTCAGTCAGGTGGTGCAGCGGGCGCAGGCGTGCCGTCATGGGCTCTGACCTCCTCACTGACTCCTCCCTCTCCCCCTGCAGCTTGTCGGACCTCCTCCACATGGCCGTGCAGATCTCCTCTGGGATGAAGTACCTGGCGTCGTTGAACTTCGTGCACCGGGACCTGGCCACCAGGAACTGCCTGCTGGACCGCCGCCTCACCATCAAGATCGCCGACTTCGGGATGAGCCGGAACCTCTACAGCAGCGACTACTACCGGATCCAGGGCCGGGCCGTGCTGCCGATCCGCTGGATGGCCTGGGAGAGCATCCTGCTGGTGAGGAGCTCCCATCCTGGAGCTGGAGGATGTTGGAGACTTCTCACACATCCAGTTATTTTTTATTGATAAACTCCGAGAGCTGAACGACGGCTGACAATCACTGCAGAAACTAAAAACTGAGTCGTTACGACTAAAAGACGCAGAACACCAGCTAAAAGAAACTAAGCTAATTGCTAAAAGTAGCTAAAAGACGTGAAAATCAGCTGATTCCTGTGAGATTAGTTTCATTTTAAAAGTTTGTTTCAAGCCTGAAACTTGCAGACCTGATGAAAGTCTTTAAAGTAGGATTAAGATTAAAACGAGTTCCTCTCAGAACCGACCTGAAGCGGGTCTGAAAGTCCGTCTGCAGAGCATCGTCAGAACAGTGTCGGACTTTATGATCCAGTTTTAGGATTCTGGTCCCAAAAAACTTCACCTCATTATTCTTATTATCATGTTAAGATCTTTTTATTTAACTGGAACTTTTTCTGAGCTGAATTAAAAACTGAAAAGACGTTCAGGTCAGTTACGGGTAGATGTGGTTAAAAACTAAACGTCAGCTGATCAGCAGGGCTGCCAGTCTGAGGCCACGTTTGCTCATTTACAGACAACAGCCCCGTTCTCTCTGAAACCGAAGGTGTAAGATGCAACTGTCATCCTCACGCTGCATGCACGATGAATGCAGCTGAGAGCTGCATCAGGGTTGCCAGATAAAGTAAAAAAAGTCTTATTTACCCCCTCCTTTTATGTGCACATGTTCAACAAACACAACACACATCTTATCTTTACTCAGCACATCTGACAGTTTAGGTCAAAATACTGTCATTTTAAATCCACAGTACTAGAGTTTATAATTTCTTATCTGGCAACCCAACTGACATGGAAACTACAGCGTTTTCGTCTAGAAACGCTCATTTTTTGTTTATTAAACTCTAAAGTTTCCAGCGGTTGTTGTCGTGTAAACGGGGCCTTATAGCAGGTAGATCACTTTGACCTGGTCGTTTTAAAAGGAGCTCGCAGGATGAAAAGTTCTGGACACGCCTGGTGTCTTTAATGAATAAATGAGTGTTTTAAACTTTGTAGACGGCTCAATAAATAAACGTGTAATTGTGGAGGCTTTAAATTAAAAACAATGTTTGATAAAGACTGTCCCTCGTGCGTTCAGGGTAAGTTCACCACAGCGAGCGACGTGTGGGCGTTCGGCGTGACGCTCTGGGAGATCTTCACCCTCTGTAAGGAGCAGCCCTACAGCCTGCTGTCTGACGAGCAGGTCATCGAGAACTCTGGAGAGTTCTTCAGGAACCAGGGCAGACAGGTGAGGAGAACCAGCACCACTCAGAACCCACAGACCCGTCAGTTTTTGTTAATGTGGTCCAGTTGTGAGTTTTAATCCCCCCAGAAGAAAGTCTAATCTAATGAAACCTGATAATCTAGTTGAGATTACCTTGATTCGTCAGTTTGTCCACTAGAGGGTGCTGTGTGGAAGCTTCTCAGCTCTTCACGTTTAGATGTTCTTATTAAAAATGCTGTTTTTCCTTTAACTGTCCCAGATCTTCCTCTACGCCCCCCCTCTCTGCCCCCCGTCTCTCTTCGAACTGATGATGCGCTGCTGGAGTCGCAACATCCCGGACCGACCCACGTTCGAGGGACTTTACCAGGCCCTGAGGCCCCACGTTAACCAGTGAGCGGTCCGGTTCTCAGGACCGCTGGGACTCCTGTCAGGTGACAGACTGACCCCTGAACACCACGGATCAGAACCACGCTGTCGCAGAGGACGGAGGACAGAGCTGGGGTCACAGGGTGTGTGACTCCAGCCGGAGAGACGAGATGAAGGGAGAAGAAACCCGTCTTCATCCGTCTCTTTCAAGCCTCTTCGTCCAAAATGTTCAGAACGTTTCTTTTTTCTCTTTTCGTCTCAGAGTTTGTCGACGTTTGACGCTCGAGGGGCGTTTGAGTCTCGCTGTTTTTCTGTGTGTAGTCGTTGTGAAACACTGTCGGTGTCTCCCCGTCTCTCCTGTTCCTGCTCGTCCACCCACACTGGAGCTGAGGTCAAAGTGTAGCAAAGTGTAGACTTTTATTTTTAGGCTTTTAGTTGATTTGTCGTGTTTTAGTGTCGTTTCTTTAACTGTTCTGTGGACGTGAACGGTGCACTGCTGGAACCTGTGTGGCTCAGACTGACAACCATCCAGAGGAAGAACCTTAAAACCACCGGAGCTCATTCTGCAGCCAAACACCGTTTAGACTCTGACGTCCAGTCTGCAGAGGGATGTGCTGCAGGTCCAGGTGTGAGAACGTTAAGATGAACTCTGATCTAACCGCTGCAGAGAGTGAAGCGTCAAACATGCTGACGTCCCGCCAACCTGTTTCACATCTGCCTGGAGGGGGCTGGGCTGCAGCTGTTGGGAGGGGGTCTCAGAAGTGTCTTCAACGTTGGAGGTGGTCCACGAGCCTCAGGCTGAGCCATCTCAGGAGTCCTGCAGCTGAAGATGGACTCCTGCAGGAAACACGTCCAGGTCCAGAAACCACAGCAACAAATCTGAACTGTGGAGCAGCGCTGCAGAGCCAAGAGTCCAGCTTTGCAGCCGTGCACGCAACTAGAAGAGGCTCAGAAAGCAGCTGCATGACTCTGGCTGCAAACCATCAGAGTGAGAAGGTCCAGCAGCTGGTCCGAGCCCAGCTTGGTCTGACCCCTGAAGGTCCAACAAGCTCGTCAATGTTCATCTTTTTGCAACAAGTCAGCTGCTTAGAGTCCGAATCTGAACCAGAACACGTAAAAACACGTTTTATATTGAAAAACTTTTATTTGTATTTAATCCTTTTGAAAAATCTATTTTTATGTTTTCTGTCGTTTGAATAAATTTATTTGCTGAAGAGTTCGCGCTGCGCTCGTCACAAGTTTAAATCCGTTTCCTTCGAGCAGAAGCGCGTGGTTGCACACAGACGGGTGGTGAAGCGTTCAGTTTGTGCGCCAGTCTTCCTGCTGCAGGTTTGATCTCCCGTCTTCACGCAGGTGAGGTCTGCGCAGACACACCTGGGCGGGTGGTTCTGGTCCAGCACACGAGGTCCAGAAATGTTTTGAGAATCGGAGACGAGTTAAAACCTGAAAACATCAGAAAGGTTCAGAGCGAACGGTTGAGTTCTGCTTGTGACCGAACCAGTACCAGCTGCTGGGTCTCTGACCGGCCAGTTGAGAAAAGAGTGAAATGGATTTTGTTGCATCAAACCACGTTTATGGTTCGAGGGGAGCTCCTGCAGGAGGCAGCGAGTCCCAGTCCGGTGGTTTGAGCCCCACTGTCTCTGTTCTCAGCTCGTCTTTACCGCAGGAAGCGCCTCGTCGTGTCCCAAACCTCCATTTCTCTGCCGGATCAACTAAAAGTCTTTATCTTCACTTTGAGAAGATGTTTTCTCAGGAGCGCTGGATGTGGCGTGTCAGCCCAGAAAAACATTTCCCCAGAACATCTGTTGGTGTGGACGGAGTCAGATGTTTCAGGTTTGTGCTCGTTCGTCTGGAGCTGTGCACGTTTAAACAACGGAGTGTCAGTTTTTACTTCATGTAGGAGCAAAGAACGGATTTGGCCTCTTCAGCTGAACGAGTGCGGCGTCTGACATGGATGTCGTTTCCAGTCTGCACTAGAAAACATCAACCGCTGCTCCTTTAAACCAAAACGGTTCCAGGCTCTAGTTTCAGGACAGAAGTTCCCAGAACTTGAGTTTATGTTCAGAGCTTCTCACAGGATTCTCCCATCGTTAAAACGAACGACCCACAAATCTGAGGATGAACGACCTGCGCAGGTATTTATCAGACCAGAGTCGAGAAAACATTTAGTAATATTCTGGTCCACCTGTCCTCTGGTGTTCTGGTCCTCCTGTCCTCAGGTGTTCTGTTCCACATGTCCTCTGGTGTTCTGGTCCACCTGTCCTCTGGTGTTCTGGTCCTCCTGTCCTCTGGTGTTCTGGTCCTCCTGTCCTCAGGTGTTCTGTTCCACCTGTCCTCTGGTGTTCTGGTCCTCCTGTCCTCAGGTGTTCTGGTCCACCTGTCCTCAGGTGTTCTGGTCCACCTGTCCTCAGGTGTTCTGGTCC